CGAGAAGCGGAGACACTGGCGAAGTCGTTTGGGGTGATATGGTCGCTTTCTCCAGTACGCTCTATCGAGCTAAAACAGGTCTATTTCAAGCCAAACGCTTTCAGATCCACGTCAATACGGCTGGCGACTACGGTAAAACAGTCGCTGTGTTCGAGTTCGACTTGGCTGAGCTCGTTCCACTTTTGAACGATTCGAGTAAAGAAAGCGTGCGTTTGAATGTGACGAAGTGTTCAGATGACCCTCGGGCGTGTATCTCGCTCACATTAGTTAGCTCACGTGTTCACTATGACAGTGTGAGTCACGACAAAGAAAAATCATGTGCGGAAGACAGCGCCAGCGAATTAGGCTCGGAGATGTCGGCCTATACAAGTTACAGCTGTGCATCGTCGCTGGCATCGACTTGCCGTCGCAATGTTGAGTCTCCCGCACCAAGCCAACTTAGCGGATTCGGAGACGCCAAAGCGAGTGCCATTCGCATTGCTGGACATACAGCGACATCGGACGGAGTACTGATAGCTACTGACAACGAGCATGACGAACTCGTGAAGGCTGTGCAAATTTTAGAAACTCAACTTCGCGAGAGTGAGGCTGAGAATGTGAAGCTTGATGCCACGATCGAACAGAAAGATCGAGAAATTGAACGGCTAACAAAGATTGTAGCAGGAAATGGTGTGTCGAACTCTGACGTTGACCGCAATGTGATGCAGGTGGATTTTTTGATTTACATGGAGTTGAGAGAACAGTATGATGCTTTAAAACTTGAGCATGATGCGTGCACTAAGGAGACAGCTCGGCCTACAGGAATATTTAAAATTGCTGGTGCTGAAAGCGATGAAGAGCTGATTAAAGAAGAGATCAACACGATGACGGAGGACTTCATCGATGACGCTTTCAAACGCTATTCAGCCAACGGGTACGATGATACCCAGGAAACCCATCCTTCAAGGGGACAGCTCAGCGACGTTCAGCTTCTTAATATGACAATAAATGAGTTGAATCTGTCAAAAAGCAAGTTGGAGGACCAGCTTCGTACCTACCAAACAGCAATCGAACAAAAAGACGAGGAATTACACAGGTACTCCATTGCATTACAACGGATCAAATCTGCGCGCAACGACGTTGATGGAGTGGATTCTTTCATCGAAGCTCAAGTTCATTGTACTTTGGAGACTGCTTTGAGCGACAATAAACGTCTTGAGAAGCAGATTCTGGATTTCGATGGTGCCATGACTACGATGGAGGAAGAAAAAGCGCGTCTGAGTGCTCAGTTGCGTCGGGCGGAGAGAGCAACTGCCGCCGCTCGAGATGAATTTCTTACAGCTCAAAAAGCTCTAGGTTGTCTTGAAAGTAAAAGTCAATCTCTGTCTGAGGAGCTGCAACTGGCTGATCAAGCACGCGAAGTGGCCGAAGAGAACGTGATTGTGGCTGAAGCAACGATTGGTACACTAAAGCAGCAGCTTCGTAACGTGTCAGATCAGTTGCATACTACACAATACGAGCTAGAATCGATTCGTGAATTCCAATCGGTGTCGACAGCGGCACTAGAAGAGGCCGCAGCAAAGCACCAGAGGCTGGATTTGATTTGGAATGGCGTAAAAATTGAGAATGAGCGACTGCAAGCCCGCGTCGAGGAGCTTGAATTTCAGTTGTCTCAGTCCGAAGTCGATGGTGATGAAAAGACGAAAGAATTGCAGATGCAGGTGCATGAGATTAATCGAGAAGCTGAAGCATTGCGCAAGGAGCTTGACTTGCTTCGTGCATCCACAACGCAAATTGAGATTGATTCGCACGACCGCGAGAAACACTTTCAAGAGAAAACTACAGCGCATCTCCGCATAATTTTGGAACAAAGTCAGCGTCTTGGCTCTGAATCTATGGCATGCGAGGAGCTTTCTACGCGTTTCCAGGAGCAAATTGAGCAGACTCAAAAGATCTCAGAGAAATTAGGCACCAGAGTGGCTACTTTGCAGGAAGAGCTCGATTATTTTCAGGAAGAGCTCATTGAAAGCAAGATGAAGGTGGCACAGCTCACGCAAGATAATGACGAGCTGGCTATCCGTAATCGCCAACTTGAGAAGGATCGAGCCCTTAATACTAAGAAATAGGCTTAAAACTAATATTCATTCCTTTAAATTATGCTTAAGCTTTCGTGTGAAGTGGCGTACATTCAATCACGAAGTCAGTCCTGAAACCTTCTCGTAGAGTGACGCCTGAAGAAGGCAAAATCATAGGGAAGTGCGCTTAGCGCAAACCACAATGGATCTTTTTGCGCGCGCACGTAGTGCCATTGATCACCGCATATTGTCGGCTGATCCACAGCGCTGCCACGAGAGCGAAATGTTGGACACCCAGGAAAGTCACGAGCAGAACAAGGATCTTAAAGTGAATGATCCGCTGACCAAGGTACACGCGCTCCTGGACGAAATGCTTGCTTGCGCGTCTTGGGGTGAGAAGGAGCATGAGGGAGAGGAACGTCGCCTTCTCAACGAGCTGCAGACTTGTGTGCTGGATGCTGAGAGTCACCGCGTGCTTGAGCAACTTCCGAAGCGTATGTGTGCTTACGAATTCAAGCCTGGGGATATCGCGTGGAACTGCAAAGTGTGCCAGGTTTGAACAAGATGGAGTAGGAATGTCTGAGACAGGATGGACACGTTCGCGCTAACTGAATTCGGACATTGTATTTTTGTTCATAAAGGTGGACGAGACGTGCGTAATGTGCAACGACTGCTTCATATCTAGTGATCATGAAGACCATGAGGTTTTCTTCTACTACACGCACAGCGGAGGTTGCTGCGACTGCGGAGATACTGAAGCATGGTCGCCAGAAGGCTTTTGTACTCACCATAAGGTCACATCTGGATGCCTGTCAAAATAGCAATCAAAATTATAGAGAACTGAACGATTGTGGTATTGTAGGGAGCACAAGATGCAGATCCACTAAGCTTTTTACCACCTGATCTGCTAGTGCAATCTCGAAATTGTATTGGCATAGTGATGACATTGGTGCTTAATTCTATTAACGAGGCCAGACAGGGCTCGATTATTAATGCAGATGATCTGGAGGCCATGCGCGATAAATTGGGGAGTGAGGTTCCTGAAAAATTATACTCAGTAATTGTGCATTACAACGAGCTACAGACATCACAGGAGTTTGCGACGGCTCTTAATAAGGCTCACCCTGCTATTGCCGTACGTATTTCTCGATAAAATTGTGTATAATGTGATGGCTGATGAGAGTTTTGCTCATATTCATGAAATCAGTATCAAATGCTTAAAATTGTAAGCGAAACATCGTCGCAGAAACAAAGCACTGTACGGACAAAAGCCTCTCGCGAGGATGTGTTGGAGCTTGCGGCATCATTGCACAAGCACGGGATTGTCACTTCTATTGTATCATGCGATTATAAATCAAGAGTGCCTCTGATCAATTCTTTGCTTCAATGGCTTGCTTCACTTGCTAACCTTTCCGACAGTCTTTGTCGACTAATTTGTGAAAAGGTTGGATGATGTGATGCTTACAAACACACACTTATTTATATGCCTGCAGTTGGATTTAACGCATGATGTTGTCTTTCGGATGTCCAGATGTGTGCTGTTGACAGTTTAGAGCACGACGAGAGCAGCATGGAAGTCGACGAGGTAGACGATTACCCGATGCTTCGTGGTGTCATTATGGCAGATTCCTTCTTGCCAAAAACTGAAAGCGACGCTCTTCACAGCTTGTTAATGGCTCTATTGGCCGACCCTTTGTTCAAACAAGCGTTTGCGATCTCGTTTACGTCGTCGTATCGCCAATTATATCGAGAATTCGCTGCGGGAGTTGGCAGCTCGACTTCTACAATATTAGCATTCAGTGTGCAATTCTTTAACCGAGCAACATTTGTGAAAAAATTGGTTGCCGAGTACGATCTTCTGGAAGTACTTGTAAACTCTGTTCTTGAGACCCTGCGCAAGAAAAAAAGAACACAATTCATCGACGTTGCTTTCGATAGGACTTGGGATAGCATGACACGGATATTGCATCCTGACCGCAATCGAGAACTTGATCTCTGGGATGTTTTCGCAATGGGTATCCAGCGCGCGCAAGGCTCAACATTGCAAGACGTTGATGTGAACGCTCTCGTATTAGAAGCTGAACGCGCTGAATATCGTATCAGGCATCATAGTGAGGTGTCACCATTCCTTAACTTGCCTCCAGAAACTGAGCTAACGGGGCGTTTCGAGCTCGACGTCGATTCGCCAGTATTCGTATGCCGCCGGTACATGTCAGGTTTGTTGGATTTGCGCTATGTTTTGCAGATTGAAGGAATTTCAGAGACTTTTGTGCTGGATAAAGGGGGATTCGGCTTATCTCGTTTTTTGCTGTATCTTGCTTTTATTCAAAGCGCGTGTTCTGAAGCTCGACGCTTTGGAGACCACATTGAGATGGAGGGGCGTGGATGGGTCGTGACGGTGGAGTTTGTATCCACGACCTTAGACGTGTCTTCATGGATCGTGTCGAATGCATTCAAGGCTGCTGGAGCACCTGATAAAATGAGAAATTTGGAAACCTCACGACATTTGATTGCCAAATTTGCTAAGCCTATTTTAGAGGCGTATTTCTTCTGGCTGGCCTCGTCCGGAAAATACTTTCCTCCGTCAGATTATCAAGTGGGAGATACTCTTCGAGCAGACCAGATTGAGACAAGTGTGTCCTGCCATTTCCCACTTCAACGCACACTTTCTCAACTGATTCGTGTTTTAAGTGATTCGACAAATGGATTGGATACTTTTCTGTCGATGGTTCATAGCCGAGTATTGGTAAGCATGGATCCGATGTGGATTCACGATGTTGACAGCCCTATAGGTTTTTGGCACCGCGTCCATTTGATTGAACCAGTTCTCCAAGCAATCGTATGGGATGCGCAAGTGCACTCAGGCATGTGGATCCGTAATGGTATGTCAGTGATCAATCACAGCATGAACTATGGTGAACCGCCATTTTGTGCTCGATTTCGTGATCTTGATTTGCTATTGCTGCAGTTTAGCTTCCAGATTTTAGGGGTGGATTGGATCATGGCATCAATCATAGAGCGCTTTGACGTGGAGGAGTGGTATGAAGCAACTCACAGCTCTGATGCAAAGGAGGCAGAGCTTATGGTGACCGAGTGTCTGACACTGCTCTCCCAGCTCGCGTCCGAACTTCCGCCCAAGATTTCAGACGATGATGCAATTCGTAGTTTGATCCCGTACTTGCGTCGTGAGATTGTTCAGCGCCTTTGCGTCGGTCCATGCGCTCACAGTGACTTATCCAAGATCGCAAACGAATTTTTTGCGAGTCGCGAAAACTTACTTCCGACTAATTTTTCTGGAGGTTCCATTCTTGATCATATTCTGCAGGAGGTTTGCGTCGAGGCCGGATTTTCGCTATCCCCTGGAGTTGGGGACTCGTCTGCGCCAGGAGGAGGTAAGTTCCAGTATCGTTTGAAGCCGGAACTATATGCAGAATACAATCCAACGTTTGTGCACTTAACGCGCAAACAGCACGAATCAGCTCATGAGAATTGGTTCCAACATCGCCTGCGCTCATCAAAAAAGAGGGAGCAAGAACAAGTAGACGACAGCCCAAATAACACGCACTCAACCTGGCTTGATTTCCCAATGGTGAATATGTTTCTGCCGTGTCCGCTAGGCTTTCGATTATCTAGAGTATCGGTTTTGCATGAAGATGTGCGAAAACTTGTGTACGAGTCGTTATGGCGTGCTACAACCGATTCCCATTGTAGCCTGAGTGTTCTATCACGAGCTGTACACTTGTTTACGCTACAATTGTATGTCGTAGAGGACGTACATTACTTCCAGACAATGATTCCTGCCTCAGACGCTGAAAAGTTTGAACGTGAGCGAGCATCTCGAATAGCTGACGATTTTATTGCTAGCATTGCTCAAGAACAGCCCAGCTTATTCTCTGATGCAAAGCCGCGCTGTGCAATTCTGAACCTTCTCCTCAAGCTGAATCCGTGGTCCAGCCATGGGGGAAGTGCAAGCATGACAAAGCTGGACGGCGATCAAAAGCACGAAATCGGTCGTGGAATTGACTGGCTTCTGCATCGACTGTCCCGCATTAGCCCTCAATGCCGGAACGTTGTGCAAAGGCACCAGGTGACGGAGCAAGAATCGCGCGATGAAGCTGCACGCAAGTTGGCCTTGGCACAGCGACGGAAAGAGGCACAAACACGTGCATTAATGCAGATGCAGCAGCGGCAAGCGGCTTTTGCAGAGCAAATGACTGCGATGGCAAATGAAAGCGATTTTGCTGGTGAAGAAGAAGTTGGCGTAGAAAGCGAGCGTGGAAAGCACGCACATGACGCATCTGATTCTATCGTGATTGACGGTGATTTCGAAATGGAAGAGGGCAAGAGTACGATGGGCAACAGCAAACCCGCGGTAGAATGCGCTATGTGCCACTCGGGAAACCCTGAAAACAGCTTTATGTGCTACGTTGGCTTTGCCCAATGTTCACCTGTGCTATCTCGACTGAATGGTGGTTCACATGGACACTATTTGAGTACACCCATGGATGAGATGCACGTTGGTGAAGACATTCCCGTACATGTACGTCTATGTGGACACTCTGTGCATCACAAGTGTTGGGAATCATACCACACGTCACAATTTCAGCGGGCAATAACTGGTGGACATCATCGTCACGCATTAAATGCTGTTGATGTCACAAAAAAAGAGTTTCTTTGCCCGTTGTGCAAATCGATTTCAAATGTGCTCATTCCAACGTTAACTGACGAACAAAGTAATTTCCTGCCAGTATTGAAGCGCAGGGTATCGGTTGATGGATCTATTGAGCCAGTTTTAGCTTCAGTGTCGCATCTTGAAATGTTGCGCTGGTTGGAACGTTCTGTTGGAAGAGGTACTCAGAAGTATACGACGACTGCCATTTCATCGAATGAGATTAGAGAAGAGAACGCGAGTGCGTTGCTGTTGGAGCAAAAACCAGTTTCAACATTAACGAGTGATACAGGAACCAGCGAATCGCATCAACTGAACAAGTGGCTTGAGGACGGTCTTGCATCGCTATGCATGGCGATACATAAGGTGGCTTGCGGTGCAATGCAAAAGTCACAGCCGGAGCGCTACGCCAGTTCTGGTTGCAACGCACTCTTTCACACTCTGCTTTGTTCGTTTCTCGATACGCAACATACAGACCAGATGCGGGAGTATCTCTTTTTGGAAGCAATGCGCTTTTTACCACTGATGCTTGGGCATGTCAACACACGCGTTCCTGCCAATGCTTCAGTTACTCCGACAACTGTGTATAATAGAATTCTTCATTTATTATTTTATGGCGGATCTGACGTTCTTTCGAATGGAACTGTTGTGCTGGAGGATGAGCATCCCAGTACGCAGACTCAAACGCGAAAACAGAGCCAGTGGGGTAAGGTGCGGTGGCCACAAAAACCGCTGCTGCTTAATCACTTGGGTAGCGTGTTGATGAAGGGATTACTTTTGGCAACAAACGAGGAAGATGCAGTCTTCATCGCCCGGCTTGTGGTGCTTGCCCGCCTTGTTCAAACATTGTTGTGGTACGCAATCACCCGAAAAGAAGACTTCACGAACGCAATGACAGATAATTTGGTGTATTCGGAGGACAATGTTGCGTGTTTCATAACTTGTTTTTCCGATGAATACGCGAGCTGTATCGATGCTGACAAAACGTACCAAACAAGCCGTGAGGACGCTGTAGGTAGTGATCTAAAATCACTTTTAGAAGCCCTGATGCATTGTTGCGATGGCTACTTTGAAGCAGAACCAATCGCGGATACACGTCAGCTCTTAAATGTTGTAGCGTGCGAGGTCATTCCTCTTGCGAAAACGGCAACATTTATGATTCTGTCACTGACGACTCGGACTACAGTGGCTTCAAAACCAATATTTATTACGCAAGAAGACATTCGGTCTGTTGGATTTGTGAAGTTGAGTGCAATGCGTCTTTTTGACTACGAAGAGAGCAGCAACCGAGTGCAGACGAAACTCACTCAGCTTGTGTTTACTTGGGTGCGTCGTTTCAAAGCTGCATATGAAGAAATGAGCGACCCTCACTCCATTTTACAGCAATGGCTTGCAACCACCAACGTGGACCAAAGCCCACATCTGGTGCTTTCATCTCTGCTGAGTCGGGACCTTCACACAATGCATTCGACTATCTCGGTCTTTTCCTCGGGCGCCAATCGTACAAGGTATCTCCGTTCGCTACCGCGTCCTTACGTAAAATTTTACTCGGAGCTAGCGAAGCGCAGGTGTCAGGCTTGTCACCAATTTCCAGCGCGTCCTGCTGTGTGTTTGCTGTGTGGAATGCTGCTCTGCGCCGCCAACACGTGCCCGTCGATCCATTCAGAAAAAGTTGGGTATCCTGACGAGGCTAATCCTGGTGCATGCACTGTTCATGCAAAAAAGTGTGGGCGAGGTAGTGGCATGTTTTTGCTGGTGCTGGAGGGCGCAGTACTGCTTGTGTATTGGAAGCTAGCAGCGTACGTGGGCAGCCTTTACATAGACGAGTACGGTGAGGAATTTGGCGAGCGCAATCGCGAATTGAGCAAAGGCCGTCCGCTTTACTTGAATGAGGAACGAACTGAGCGGTTATTGCGATTGTGGCTGCGTCATGAGATTCCCAACGAAGTTGTTAAAATCCAGAACAGCTCTGAGCGCGTTATCCGCAACAGCCACTACTAATATCAAATGGATGTAAAGCAAGAATTTTTTATGCGCTTCTGCTAGCGATATCCATGGCAAGTTTAAGACGCCTCACTATCAATAAATGACACCATTAATGAAACAAGCTAATTTGTAGCTCGTACTTAGAGGAATCTTGGGTGGAGAATCGATCAAAATCCTTTTAAACTCGAGTCTTACCCCCTTTCACCATGTTCGTTCGCACGCCCGTCAGGACCATAGCCGCCGTCGCGCAGGCCACGCGCAATATGTCTGCGTCTGCCAAGGTCTGGATTAATAAGGACACCAAAGTTATTTGCCAGGGTTTCACTGGCAAACAGGTATTTTTAAGATCTCGTCGGGCTTGTACGAGGGTGAAGATTTTCTCTAACACGCCTTTGTCGCTAATTATTACTAGGGTACATTTCACTCACAGCAAGCTATAGATTATGGAACTAACATGGTGGGTGGAGTCACTCCAAAAAAGGGCGGCTCGATGCACTTGGGTTTGCCGGTATTTAATACGGTAGCCGAAGCCAAGAAAGAGACTAGCGCTGATGCCTCTGTTATTTATGTGCCACCGCCTTTCTGCGCTGCATCCATCATTGAAGCCATTGAGGCTGAGATCCCCCTCGTTGTAGCTATAACAGAGGGCATCCCGCAACAAGATATGGTCAAAGTCAAGTGGCACCTGCGTAACCAGAGGACTACGCGTCTCATTGGTCCTAATTGCCCCGGCATCATTAAGCCTGGTGAATGCAAGATGGGTATCATGCCCGGTTATATCCATCAAAAGGGAAAAATCGGTATTGTTTCCCGCTCTGGCACCCTTACTTACGAAGCCGTGGCACAAACCACAGCTCTGGGTCTCGGTCAATCAACTGTTATCGGAATAGGTGGTGACCCATTCAATGGCACCAACTTTGTTGACTGTCTTGAACGCTTTACGAACGATCCAGAGACCGAAGGTATCATTATGGTGGGCGAAATCGGTGGATCTGCCGAGGAGGAGGCTGCCGAGTGGCTCATGGCTCACGGCGACCCTAACAAGCCCGTGGTGAGCTTCATTGCCGGCACAACTGCTCCTCCTGGACGTCGTATGGGTCATGCAGGTGCAATTGTATCGGGTGGAAAGGGAACGGCTGCAGGTAAGTTTGCCGCTCTCGAAGCTGCTGGTGTTGCTGTTACGCGGTCGCCTGCTCGTCTTGGTGTGACACTGTTCGAGGAGATGAAAAAGCGTGCTTAAAGTGCACGATCAATTACATTACAAACAACAACGTACTACGGGTTAAAAAAATTTTTAGGCGAAGCTTCAGCCACCTTATTGTTGAAACAGGTAGATTTTTCTGCTTGCCCCCAGCATTGGCAAACCGTTTCGATTGGATCTCAGTAAATACAGAATATTCAAGCATAACGAACCCAAGACCAATACGCTTACATGTCATTTCTTAAGGAGCCTCGTTTTGTATTAAAGTATCGTCAGTTTCAATATATTGTCGCTTGTCCTTTAGCTTCGTCTCGCCTGCAAATTTGCTGTAAACAGTGCGGTCGGCGTCGAAATTCGTCGGATTTTTTTATGCAAGTAAATATGCATCATTCTATGCCCTGCAGTTTGTTGACAACATAAAGAATCATCGAAATCTCGTACTTAAACGGGAAATAGAAAAGCGCAGCCAACCGCTTTGGGAGTCAGTTTCAGACAAAAGGGTAACTGAGTGTTGATACATGACTTTGCAGAGTACAAGACGTCGAAGACGAAACCCATCGCTTCTAGTATTTGATGATAACCGCCTCGCTCGCTTTATGAGACAGCTATACCAGCTACCGATTAAATATAGTTCGTGCAACAAGGTCGGTCCCCATCGAAAGCGGACAAGGCTGCCTCTTCTACAAGAAAGCTATTAGTTGGTGTGTCATGTTCACCGCGCGATCATGTCTCTTTTACAATGGCGCGCCAAATTCTTGCCAAAATGTTACTTCAAACCCCTATGAGTTTCAGACATGAAAGCAAACCACCTCTTGCTCAACGAGCAGCGCCGGCAGGGGAAAACTGTAACGGGGGTGACCCATATCCCTTGTATGAAAGGGCGGTTCACACAAGATGGTTTGACCGTACATATATGTGGATTACATAAGTTGGTGTAATCACACAATGGTCTGGCCACACCGTAACAAGCAGACACTACGTGGCAGGGTTGCCAGCAGAAATGTGAAACGGGGATGCCGTAGATCTTTGCTTAGAGAAAGCTGAGCTAAGGTCACCGACTTAATGTTCTTTACAAGAACCAGTATGAAGGTAGTGGATTGCGATCCGCTAACTCCAAAGTACTTAAGACCATAACCAGGGTAAAGACGATCTTCCGTTAAAAATTGACACAATATTTAATTGTTTTAGTTGTGGCAGAGCCGCCAATATCTAAATCCTCAATTTTTTATTAATATAGTAATACCTTACTGATATAGGAAAGCCTAACGAACGGATTTTTACGAACAGAAGACCTTCTACTACTACAAGCCCCCATCGAATTTTCGACAATGTTCTAGAAATAAAAGACCGCTTCGATTAA